AACCACTTACAATTTGAGTTATTAGGTAAATCACTTTTGCAATTCAAAAACACATAAATCTGCATTATTATTATTATTTTTATTATTATTAATTGTTATATTTAATAAGTTTAATCATAGACATTACTTTACTTTATTTTATTGTCTCTGCAAAGACAAATTTGTCTCAGAGTAAGACCATACATCATTACACATTAAATAACAAAAGATCATACACTATACCAATATTGATAGAATAAATACCTTCTATTTTACAATCTGTTATATTAAAAATATCTTCACTTGTGTATAAGCAAAGCCAGGAGTGAAGCAGGACTGTAGCCAAACTACTGCAATGTGTATCTGAGATGATGCTCTCATTACCTCTTCTCTGTACTCATGCCAGTTTCTGAGAGAATTGTGACATTACTGGTTGGTCATTTACGGGTACTGATGTCTGGTTTGTTTCTTTGTTGCATCACATTGTGACCTGTGTTTGATTTTATCAAGCTGAAACTTTAATCTGTCTCCAAGCCACTGGTCCAAGGCATGAGCAATATTGACAAATCTCTATCACAGTCTGGGTATCAATACACAATGATATACAGGAGTAAGGTTTTTAAAAAAGATGTCAGATAATGGTTTAGCCATTAGCTGCATACCACTCTGTAAATGGTATAGCAACATCTCTGCTGGAGGACTGATTTATACAGTGCCTTGCGAAAGTATTCGGCCCCCTTGAACTTTGCGACCTTTTGCCACATTTCAGGCTTCAAACATAAAGATATAAAACTGTAATTTTTTGTGAAGAATCAACAACAAGTGGGACACAATCATGAAGTGGAACGAAATTTATTGGATATGTCAAACTTTTTTAACAAATAAAAAACTGAAAAATTGGGCGTGCAAAATTATTCAGCCCCTTTACGTTCAGTGCAGCAAACTCTCTCCAGAAGTTCAGTGAGGATCTCTGAATGATCCAATGTTGACCTAAATGACTAATGATGATAAATAGAATCCACCTGTGTGGAATCAAGTCTCCGTATAAATGCACCTGCACTGTGACAGTCTCACAGGTCCGTTTAAAGCGCAGAGAGCATCATGAAGAACAAGGAACACACCAGGCAGGTCCAAGATACTGTTGTGGAGAAGTTTAAAGCCGGATTTGGATACAAAAAGATTTCCCAAGCTTTAAACATCCCAAGGAGCACTGTGCAAGCGATAATATTGAAATGGAAGGAGTATCAGACCACTGCAAATCTACCAAGACCTGGCCGTCCCTCTAAACTTTCAGCTCATACAAGGAGAAGACTAATCAGAGATGCAGCCAAGAGGCCCATGATCACTCTGGATGAACTGCAGAGATCTACAGCTGAGGTGGGAGACTCTGTCCATAGGACAACAATCAGTCGTATACTGCACAAATCTGGCCTTTATGGAAGAGTGGCAAGAAGAAAGCCATTTCTTAAAGATATCCATAAAAAGTGTCGTTTAAAGTTTGCCACAAGCCACCTGGGAGACACACCAAACATGTGGAAGAAGGTGCTCTGGTCAGATGAAACCAAAATCGAACTTTTTGGCAACAATGCAAAACGTTATGTTTGGCGTAAAAGCAACACAGCTCATCACCCTGAACACACCATCCCCACTGTCAAACATGGTGGTGGCAGCATCATGGTTTGGGCCTGCTTTTCTTCAGCAGGGACAGGGAAGATGGTTAAAATTGATGGGAAGATGGATGGAGCCAAATACAGGACCATTCTGGAAGGAAACCTGATGGAGTCTGCAAAAGACCTGAGACTGGGACGGAGATTTGTCTTCCAACAAGACAATGATCCAAAACATAAAGCAAAATCTACAATGGAATGGTTCACAAATAAACATATCCAGGTGTTAGAATGGCCAAGTCAAAGTCCAGACCTGAATCCAATCAAGAATCTGTGGAAAGAACTGAAAACTGCTGTTCACAAACGCTCTCCATCCAACCTCACTGAGCTCGAGCTGTTTTGCAAGGAGGAATGGGCAAAAATTTCAGTCTCTCGATGTGCAAAACTGATAGACATACCCCAAGCGACTTACAGCTGTAATCGCAGCAAAAGGTGGCGCTACAAAGTATTAACTTAAGGGGGCTGAATAATTTTGCACGCCCAATTTTTCAGTTTTTTATTTGTTAAAAAAGTTTGAAATATCCAATAAATTTCATTCCACTTCATGATTGTGTCCCACTTGTTGTTGATTCTTCACAAAAAATTACAGTTTTATATCTTTATGTTTGAAGCCTGAAATGTGGCAAAAGGTCGCAAAGTTCAAGGGGGCCGAATACTTTCGCAAGGCACTGTATATGCCATCACATCTCTTACCCTAATTCAAGGTGTATTAAACATTAGAATATGCTCCTCTTCAACAACATCAAGACACACGTTAATACCGATTTTATTAACTTTTTTACATACTGGATGACCACAGAAAATGCTGAATTCATGATGAATAAAGGTATAATGTGTACATTTTGGATCATTTACAAAAAAATGTAGTTAAGTGAACTGTTTGCACGAAGGTAGTTGTACATTTTAAGAATGGATAGTGCTGAAAAGAACAATTACAATTTTTTTGTAATTTGAGAAATGTTTATCTGAAAATTATAGTTTCATTCTGAAACAGTCTGGGGAAAAAATCCTCATGGAATGTAAAATTATCAAAATACCAAAAGTCAGTGTTTTTAAAGATACAGTAACCATAAATGATAGAAGTAAAATGGTAAATTTACAGTATTTAGTATTTAGTCCACAAATTGAAGTGGCTCAAAGTCATTCTGAGTGTCATTTCCAAGGTATTGCTTGAGAAAAGGAACAACTCTGAAAAGATTTATATGGAAATCTCTGGAGGCGTCATCTGACTCGACAACACCGCCCCCCTCGCACTTATTCTTGGTTCCCCAGCTGACCACTCCAATCTGTGGAAGAAATGGTTGGTTACTTTACAGAGTCAACAAGAAGGTGTCACCTCCTATATCCCTATGGAAGTTTATTTTCCTTAATATATTTGCCATTGGATGATGCTCATTTGTGACAGACTGTTGGACACATAAGAATGAATATCTGTTTACCTGTACTGTGCGCTGATGATGATGCTTGAACACAGCACCTCCAGAGTCACCTGTCCCAACAAATACACACACATATCTGGTTACGCCCCAAAATAAATAATGTGTCTCAGTTAGTGAGCTGTACCGCTGTTGTATTCATCACGTATGAAGAGCGGAAGAACAAACAAATACAGCAAACTTTAAATTTTGCTTTATAACTGGAGCTTACCTGTACATGCTATATGATCTCTCTGAGGAGTCAGACCACCAGTGCACAGGAAGTTATCAGTCACAGCAACCTCTGGATTTTTTGTTTTTATGCCTTTTGCCTCTAGTGCATGTCTGATACAATCACCTCTCTGCATTGCACAAATGGAATAAGAACAATAGCTCAAAGTGGCTTGTAGGACTGTATGTGGAAAAATGAACAAAGCAGTCACATACACATAGCTTACACACAACACAGCTCAGCAACTGAAAACTCACATTATCTCCAAGCTTAGCGCGAACATTTTTTTCAGCTGCCCATTTGTCTGTCCTAGTCATGAAATTCAGTTCTTCCAATTGAGTCTTTAACAGAAGCTGCTCTGTATTAAGAGAACACAAAAATACAGCAACTTGTAACCTGAGGCTCATAACAGACTTTTCATTTTAACTGCAAGGAACAGTAAACTGGCAGGAGGAAATCTGATAATCTCCTCCCTATTTAGGGTTTATAAGTAGCTAATAACCAATAATATATAAAATAAATGTATAACATATACTAGTTTAGAATACACTAGTCCACACTAATATAAGCTAATTAATTGTAAGGACATTAAAAGTTTATTTATTGTATTTGTCAACAACTATATAAATCCTTTGTATGAAGGAATTGTAGCAAATACTGTGTGAATGATTAAAAATGTGGAAAAAACAGTGGAAAGACAGTTTATATGAATATTAAATAAGCTTATATTTCTTATTTTTGTTAATTGTTTGTATTATATTGTTTTTATGTGTATTTATTAGCATGTAATATAGCTTTGACAAGACTTTTGGTCTAAAATTAATCAACTAGAAAAATCATCTGGAAACTGCAGTTTCAACCATCTAATGGTGCTAACAATGGTTTAATTAGCAAAAGCTGAAAAATCACTAACCACCAGCTCTCTTTAAATGAGATTTCTATTTCATCTGCCTGAGATCATTAATTACAGGAGTAGTAAATCTGCCATTGGTGCATATGCACCATGTGAAAATAGAAGCTTAACAAGCATAGCAGCAGTAAATGAGATGTGCACGGTATAATAAAAAGTTCATTGAGCAGGGGCTCCCAGGTGAGGAATCAGTTTATGCAGTGTCACCCAGTTCTGCAAAAAAGATAAGTATTTTGTAGTAGGTATGAAGACCAAGCAGTGTGTTGCAGTGTGTCTGTAGAGTTATTGTACCTTGTGCTTTACAAGTGGATTTGCCAACCATTTGTAGAGCTTCGCTGGTCTCCTGGGTGCAAGGTATGCAAATAGGTCTGGATGAGATAAAGTATTATATCATGAAGAGGATGATGTTCCAATGAAACTATTTGTAACACTGGATATTTATTTATAAGAAATACAGTGCTAACACTCCCGATTTTGGCTTGTGTATGTGTGAGAGCTGGGACACTGTTGGATCCATGGTCCTAAAAGTGGTGGGACGAAATGTTTTTGAGCTCCTCAACAGTTGGATCAGTCATATAATCGAATCATTCTATACCTTGGCCTGTATTATTTTTACTTTATAGTCTACCGCCAATCTTTCATCCAGATTATTTTTCTCTCAGTTCTTCACTTGCCTTCTCCATTTCCAATTTTGTTTTCTGTTGTGCCCCTGATAACATTTTCACTCCTGAGCTACTATGACATTTGAACAAAATGGACAGTTTTCCTCCACCTAGATTTAACTTTTTAGAAAATACAGAGACGTGAATGATAGATACAAGCACATTAATAGATACACAACATTGCAAGCAATTCAAGTGTGCCCCCCCCCACCCCAACCCCCTTACCGAACAGAAATTGAAATTTTAACATCTTTCTCCAGTTGGATGAGAGCCACATCGTAGTCATAGAACTCATCCACACCCTCATCGACTTTACCCTTAATGTTGTAGTTTGGGTGTAATATAAAGGTTTTTACTTTTTTCACTGTAAAAGAGACACAATCAACTGTTAGTATTGATTTAGTATTGATTAGTTTGACTTCAAAACTTTGAATAATAAAATAGCCATTACCAAAGCAAAGTACAGACTTAATTTAAACTGTAACACCACATGAACAGCTAAAATGTAGGTATGTCATGTTCATATACCTAAAGAGAAAAGGCATGAGCAGCCATACAGACATTAAATAAACCTTTATCATTACCTTTGCGATCCATTCTATCATCAATCTCAACTTTGACATCGTCTGGCTTGTCCCCAAATCTGAAGCAGTGAGCTGCTGTCAAGATCATCTTAGAGTTCACCAGAGAGCCAAGGCATTTCCTTCCTCCCTTCAAATTTTAATCTTAAATAAATCCACTATAAAAAAAAAACAAAAAAAAACATGGACAACATAGCATGATGGTAGAGTAGATATTTAGGAAACGGGGTTTCATAAAATGTACATCTGAAGATTTGACTCCACTATATTCACTAAGCCAACTGGTGGAAGGGTATATCCCTCTAAATTTGTATGATGTAGTACAGGGAATGAAGACTAAGGCTCATTGTGAGCTACTGTATATACTGAGTGTTGCATGAATGAAGTTCAAAGAAAAGCTGAAACAAACCTCAATATAAATGAAGGCTAACCATGGATACATTTTTTTCTTCCTCTCTATGTCGTCTTTGTCTATGACTCTGTCGTAGTCCTTATGAAGACCACATAGGCCCTTAACTGCATCTTCATCTGTATAATACACAAAATGATAGACATCCTTTCCCACATACATTGGGTTCAATATGACAATATATACAATTACATCTCATTCATTTAGCAGATGGTTTTATCCAAAGCAAAGTTTTTAATGATCTTTTATCTTAACAGAAGTAGATATATGATGCCTGTATAAGTAAGCTATATAACGTAATGGTCCAGTGGGATACTTTTATCATATCAGTTAATCCCAGCTACATCAGCGGTGTCAGGCTCTGTATCATATAGAGATAACATAAGATGAAGATTGATTGTCCTGCCTGCTCTTATAAGCACTTTAGGAAACAAGATAACAATATTTTGCCCTTCACTTATGATCATATATCTTCTTTGTGTCAAATGTGAGGGTGGAGATGAATGCTAGGGTAAACACTGATACACAAATGCACATTGCTGCTCTATTCAGCCTTCTGACCTTATTTTCAGAAATGACATACCAATCATTTCATCAAAGGTATCTTGCAAACGATCAAGGCCCTTCATTCTGAAGTAATGCTTTTCGTTGGCCTTTGTAGTTGTGAGAGGCTGCAGGTCGTCATCAAAGACCTCAGCTCCAATGCCAAAAATATATATGTCTGTAACAGATTGGAGCATAGCAACACATATTAGACTCTCTGTGTTAAAACATGTTCTGTAACAATTACAGTAAATATTACTGACAATATTACTCGGTTATTGGTTGGGGGGCGTAAGAAGGACCACATAACACCAGTACTGGCATCTCTCCACTGGCTTCCGGTGCGTTACAGGGTTAATTTTAAGATTCTTTTATTTGTTTATAAATCCTTAAATGGGCTGGCACCATCTTATCTTGTGGAACTTTTGCGTCCATATAATCCGTCGTGGTGCCTCAGATCAGCAGATCAGCTTCTTCTGGAGGCACTGAGGGCCAGGTGGAAAACTAAGGGGAATAGAGCCTTTGCTGTGGTAGGTCCAAAACTGTGGAATGCCTTGCCGCTTTATATTAGGCAGGCCCCCTCCCTGTCTACTTTTAAGTCTTATTTGAAAACCCACTTGTATTCATTGGCGTTTGGCCAGGAATGAGACTCTGTCTGTAGTGTTAGTGTCTATATTATTGTTTATAGCTTTTTGTGTGTTGTTTTTATATTTTGAATGATATGTTAAGTGCTTTGGTCAGCTGTGTTGTGGTAAAGTGCTATAAAAATAAAGTTGAGTTGAGTTGAGTTGAGATATAGTGTGAGTCTGTAAGCGTAGAGACACATGGGGGCGGGGAGCCAATCCCAGCAGACATTGGGTGAAAGGCAGGATACACCCTGGACAGGTCGCCAGTCTATCACAGGGCTGACACTAAGAGACAGACAACCACAAGCCCACACTCACTCCTACGGGCAATTTAGAGTTTCCAATCACCCAAAGCTGCATGTCTTTGGACTGTGGGAGGAAGCTGGAGAACCAACGCAGGCAGAGGGAGAACATGCACACTCCACACAGAAAGGTCCCTGGTGGGCTGGGGCTCGAATTCGGAACCTTCTTGCTGTGAGGCACCAGTGCTAACCACTGCGCACCATGACACCAGAAATCAGCTGAAATCATGAATACTACAGCGACAGTCTCAATTGGCTTTCCTGAACATTATTTCTTCTTGTGCACTGATTCGCTAAGCTAAACAGCCAATCAGAGTGGTCTCTTTCGCCAGCAAGGTCTGACACTGATTCAACATGTAGCCAATAGCCGACGGTTGCCAATGACTGACCATAGGCTTGGTGTATAATAGGCATAAGGCAGGGCTGAATAATGAAAATCAGCAACACAAATCTGCACAGCAAATTAAAAATAAGCCTCACCAAGATAGTCTTCTCTTGTTGAAGTCTCACCAGTGTAGTTCATGTATACCTTATTTTTTATTTGTGCCACAGTAGGTGCAGGTGAACCGCCCATATTATAAGCTCCTGTAACAGAAATAACCAGTGTGTTAAAACAAAACACTTTTTTTCAGTAGGCACCATTCACATTTAAAAACTGTTTTAAATTGAACTTAAAACATAGGCTACAATATAATTATTTATGGACCTTTAAAGCCCACAGATTAATACATTATCTTTCATCTTATACATTTTTGTAAGAATTTAAAAAACAAGTGCTGCCAAGGGAATTTGGTTAAAGCCAGGCTACCTGTGTAGTCCTTTGTCCAGTCTTTATCGCTAAACTAAGCTAAGCTAAGCTAAGCTAACTGGCTATTATCTGTAACTTCATATTTGCTGTACAGACATAAAAATAAGCATCTTTTCTAAAATGTCAGACTCTTTATTTTAAATAGTTGCACCATGAATATTCAAATTCTTTATTTCTCACAGTGAAAGAATTTGCTGAAATCCATCAAATATACCAATGCTTGATGCTGAAATTACCATCTGTAAAAATGATGAGGGCATGGCGATGTTCCTTAAAAGCCTCTTTCCCAACTTGTTGCTCTATAATAGCCATTCGCTCCAAGAAGTTGCTAAAGATGAGGTTCAGATCTGTTCCTGCAGTGATTTGATCTGTGAATCCAAATATACACAGAGTGAAACATAACTTCAGGTTCAAGCTGCGTATTAAAACTATAGTTCTGTCAGGTTTGCCCGGCTGCACCTTCCTCTCTTCTCTCTTTCTCGCTCTAGTCTGCTCCTTCTCACTGACTCTCTTGATTAACACACCTGTCCTGATTTTCTGACACTCTTCAGCTGCGCCTCCTTTGTCACTCCCTATTTATACCCGGCTTTACCTTCACTCCCTTGCTGGTTCTTTCTATGTCGTTAGCCTTCTTTGCATGACTGAGTATACTATTTTTTCTCCTGTTTTCACATATGTTAGTTCTAGCGTCTCCTGTTGTTTTACCTGGACCTCTCCTCTGGACCTTGGCTTCCTCAGCTCCACCAACCTCTTCCACAGGTCGATGCACAGTCTCATCATTCAATCCACTCTCTGTTACTCCTCAGTCTACCGGATCACCACCTTGACCAGCTCAGGAGTGTCGCCTTCCCTTGCAGCCCAACCTCATCACTCCACGGACAATAACCCCTTCACTAATGCTGGTCATCACCCGGTGATATTCATTCATTCATTCTATTTTTTTGTATATAAGTCTTGCACCCCTGTTGTAGCACTGTTAATAAACCCACCTATTGCACCGAAGCCAGCCGCCTGGGTCTGTTCATTTCTGCTCGCTCACAATTGTGGCGAGCGATCCTAACAAGTTCCAACAACATTGCATCTCTGATCTGTTGGACTCACCACTTATTTTAAAATCTTTCAGCTCCTTCTTGACAGAGCTTAGTTGTACTTTTCCATCCAACATGTCAAGAATATCGACAACCGGAAATATTTCAGAGGAGAAAAAGACGATGTGATAGTTTGGAGTCACACTAAAGGATGAAATCTGTGGAGACAAAGCAAATCATCTGAATAAAAGTTGGATGATCTTTATTACTGTGTGAACTTTTGACACAACTTTGTAAATACATATAAACTTGTCAAAATTTTTGTCAATGCAACACCTCCTTAGGATCCAAACTGCTTATGGTTGTTATTTTGTTGAGTAATTGATTCATTTATCAGCAGAAACAGTATTCCCTAGTGTGCACTGACAACAAGCCAAGGGACTCACGCCAAGAGGCATCAGTCAGCTCTATGATGTGCAATTCATAATGAAATTTACTTCTAATGGGCTGTTGTCCTGTACCCAAATGGAATGAGATTATGTTTGTACATGTTACGTGCACAGTGTGCCAAACATGCTTCTAAAAATGTGTCAGAACACAAATGATTCATATGTCAGCTCACAACAAGAGGATAAATTAATAAAATCTCAGTGGGATTAGTATTAGGACTGTCACATTCAAAAAGCTGGAAGTATAGCCACAAAAAAAAAATGATTAAATGCTTTGAAATAATCTAATTCATCTTTGAAACTTGTGAAATGTTATATAATTCTACCTCTTTTCACAATATAACAAAAAAACACTTTCGGGTTGCAAGCGAGAGCAAACGTCTTTACTGCTTCTCTTGTCTGTTCTACGATTTTTCACATCTTCCACATTGTCAAGTCTTTGAACAAATTCTACAACTACTAAAATGCCTCCTAGAGGGAAAAGAGCTAATAAATCCGAAGTGAACGAGGATGTTGAGGCTGAAGAAGATTCTATTTCAGCGGTGCAAGTAGCTGAGATGATGAATCAGCAGAAGATTATGTTCACTGCGCTTATGTGCCAACAGCATGAGAGTTTCCAAGGCTTTGTGAAACTAATTATGGAGACAAATAACAAGAGATTCGACGACTTGACCAAAGAAATGCAGGAGATAAAAACGAGTTTGCAGTTTACCCAGCGAGATGTGGACGCGATTAAAGCGGCCGTGGGGGTGCAGGAAAAAATTGCCAAAAACACTTGTCGGGACATCGACAAAACCCGAGAGAGTCTAATAACTATTGCGTGTAAAATGGAGCATTTGGAAGCACAGTCCAAGCAAAAAAAACTGATCTTCAAGGGAATCAAGGAGTCAGCTGGAGAAAGCTGGACGGAAGCGGAGTGTAAGGTGAAGGAGATTTTAAAGGACAAACTGCAAATTCATCAAGATATAGAGATGGAAGGAGTTTACAGAGTCGGGAAACTGTCTGATCGGGGTCCAAGGGGGGTGATGGTTAAGTTGATGAAGGACAAAGATAAGACAAACATTCTGCAGCAAGCCAAGAAGCTTAAGGGAACCAAGATTTACATCAATGAAGATTACCCCGAGTCTGTGAGGAAGAGAAGAAGAGAGTTGATGCCGATGTTAAGAGCGGCTAGGGAGAGAGGAGAAATCGCGTTTCTGCGATACAACAAACTGGTGACCCGACCTCGGAACCAGGATCTTGGACCCATGACCAGCACGCCGAGACAAGGAGAGTATGATGGGGCCGCTGGACCCTCTCATGTCTGAAGAAACTTGCAGCTATACTGATATCTGCGATGGCAGATGAGCTTTGTATCAACAAGCATGACCAATGGACGATATGAGGCAAGTGATTTGCTACAGAAGTTAATAGATTTTGAGGGACGGGATCTGGAACTGAACACATTTGGAGACACTGAAATTCATTATCATGAACCGGACGATGGCTTTGACCCTGAAAAAAACTTTTTCAAGAACTTTGAAAATAACTGCAAGTATTACACGGATGAGCAGTTTAACAGCAATGTCAAGACTGAAAACAAATTATCATTAATTCACTTTAATAGCAGAAGT